AACACATAGAGACGGTTTGCATACAGAGACGATGTACAGACAGAGACGATGAACACATAGAGACGGTGTATACACACAGACGGTGAACACATAGAGACGGTTTGCATACAGAGACGATGTACAGACAGAGACGGTGAACACATAGAGACGGTGTATACACACAGACGGTGAACACATAGAGATGGTGTACATACACAGGTGATGTACAGACAGAGACGTTGGATCATACACAGACGGTGTATAGACAGAGACGGTGTACACACACAGAGACGGTGTACACGCACAGACTCCACCCCCTCACATCGAAAAGGCAAAAAGAGATGTGTACTGAAAGAGACGGTGTACATACAGAGACAGTGAACACACACAGACGGTGTCACAAAGAGACGGTGTACACACACAGACGGTGTCACAAAGAGACGGTGTACATACAGAGACTGTGTACACACACAGACGGTGTCACAAAGAGACGGTGTACACACACAGACGGTGTCACAAAGAGACGGTGTACATACAGAGACGGTGTACACACACAGACGGTGTCACAAAGAGACGGTGTACATACACAGACGGTGTACACACACAGACGGTGTCACAAAGACACGGTATACATACAGAGACGGTGTACATACAGAGACGGTGTCACAAAGAGACGGTGTACATACACAGACGGTGTACACACACAGACGGTGTCACAAAGAGACGGTGTACATACAGAGACGGTGTACACACACAGACGGTGTCACAAAGAGACGGTGTACACACACAGACGGTGTACAAACAGAGACGGTGTACATACAGAGACGGTGTACAAACAGAGACGGTGTACACACACAGAAGGTGAACACATAGAGACGGTTTGCATACAGAGACGATGTACAGACAGAGACGATTAACACATAGAGACGGTGTATACACACAGACGGTGAACACATAGAGACGGTTTGCATACAGAGACGATGTACAGACAGAGACGGTGAACACATAGAGACGGTGTATACACACAGACGGTGAACACATAGAGATGGTGTACATACACAGGCGATGTACAGACAGAGACGTTGGACATACACAGACGGTGTATAGACAGGGACGGTGTACACACACAGAGACGGTGTACACGCACAGACTCCACCCCCTCACATCGAAAAGGCAAATTGCAGACCATGTTTCACATTTTTGGAGAATGGTATTTGACTGAATCATCGTATTGTATATATGATCCACATTGTTAATTCTTTTAACAAATGAAAAAAGAGACACGTGACTCTTTGGAGGTTTTGAAGTAAATAGGAAATATGATTTAGTGTTATTTCTATACCGTAGTGATACTACCCTGCACATGTTTCTCATTATGTGTTATTAACCAAACAAAGAATTGAAACTGAGTTGAAAGAGAAACAAAGAAAATGCCGACAAGTCAAAAGAATCAATTTAACTTAAAGTAAGTGAAGAATAACAGAAATATCCATACTGATATTCTTAAGATTAATTGATCAAAAACAATAAGGTCGTCTTTAACGACAAAATCTAACACGTGTTTACCTACCAAATGCTTATCTACCAAACGCCATCTACCATATAGGGTATCAGAGGGAATAACGTTATATTCCAAAATGGAAGCAAATTTACCAGTAACATAAATAGTAGACATATTAATAATTATCAGCTGATGTTTGCAACATAGAATACCTATCATCAGGTTTTGTCATCTTCTGTTTCAACAGAAACATAAAGTGTTGATTGGAGTAATAAAGGTGATTCGCTTACAATGAGGTTTGATAACGAACTGCCAATCTGTTCTCTAAATGATAATGACAACCGATTCATGTATTTAGACGCTGCTGTGTAATTGTAATACATTTTTAACACATTATTGAGATTACCTCATACATAAGTTATGACTGAGTAATACACTTGTATTCCATAGCGAAAATTACCGTTAATCGAAAGTCATGATATAAAGCGAGTACAGCAATCTTTCCTTATTTCACAATGATGTTCTATTTTCAAATGTGCCGTTTAGTGGTTATAAATCTGTTGGTGTGCGATAGGTGTATATATTTGTGATAGAAAAATAAAATCGGTTACTACGCATCATAGATACTCTCAGTATTTCCTCTCACGTCTCTTCTCGTCATTGATACAGGATTAAGGTTATCTCGACGTTCATTGAACATAAGGTAAACAGAAACAGTCTGTTGAAAACCTTACCAGCCGTACTCTATCTGTAACATATTGATAGTATAGAGCTTGTGATTTGTTTATAAAAAGCTGTCAAAACTTAGCTGTGCACTTTTATTTAATTTCATAACTCAGAATACAATTTAAATATCTCATTTTATAACTCAGAACACAATATTTATCTAAACTGCTGGTTGTTTTTCCTTGAATTATTAATAAGTTAAATAAAATCTCGCGATACTTCAAAGATTGAGGTCAAGAGAATAATTATGTTATGGTATCCTACCTATTTGACAAGAAGACAAGTTCGTTTTGGAGATATATTTTTTGACCTTAGTGATAAGGTAAAATTACATCCTTATTTGGTCATATTATACCCTATACATTATTTCTAACTTTTTACATAGATATCATATGTAGAGATGTTATGTATTTGTCTACTGCTGAGATTTCATGCGAACCTTGCCTGTCATCCACGACCTCAAACCAACAAACTTTGAAGATGTACAGTTTCATCTCTGTAGAAAAAGACATTTGTTGAAGGAATGACGTCAGGGTATATCAGGGAATGATATTATATTAAATGAAGTGGAACAATATGGGATTGTAAATATCCGGGGAACTGCCCTCTGTAAGGCATACCATAAAACATTGTCTGGTCGGCTATGGTCTAAGCTGGTCGCATTGGTCTGGTCCCAAATGTTGACTGGTCTGGTTATGTAACTTGAATTTCTTTGTATATCTTGCCAATGGATACACATGCGATACTGATCAATGATTTTCAGTTCATATCAGTAGCATGGGAATCAAGAAGGGAGGGGCAATTGCCTCCCTCCCCATTGCTTTCTGCGCCACAGGAAATGAATGAGACGGTGAAAAAAGAGGATTTTCCGGAATTTTCTAACGTGACCACGACATATGGAGTTTGTAAAACTATTGACTGAATTAGATATCTAAAAGCCTATGGTTGATTTTAATGCTCTATCAAAAATACCTCCCTCGATAGAGGAATGAGAGATACAGTAGCAACAGCAAGCCGATCAATGAGGCCTTCACCAGACAAAACAATACAAGGCCAACGAAACAGACCAGACCAGACCAGACCACGCCACACCACACCACAGCATCCGTAAAGTTAGGACAAGACCCACGACCCGGAACAGACCCAACCAAACTAAACAGATATTTGAAACCTGACTAATGAGGCCTTGACCAGACAAAACAATACAAGGCCAACGAGACGATATCAGACCAGACCACACCACACCACAGCATCCGTAAAGTTAGGACAAGACCCACGACCCGGAACAGACCCAACCAAACTTAACAGATATTTGAAACCTAACTAATGAGGCCTTGACCAAAATCTGATACACGACTGACAAGATCAAACAAGACCAGACCAGAGCAGACTAGACCATGTATCAAAACATTCACCTTTGTTACTTTTTTTAGCCGCGTTTCTGAGTTTTATTTCTACAAGTCATTCCAATTCAAATGAGTTAATAATACAATGCATATATTTATCATACCTCTTCAATTTGGAGTCAGCGTTTACTCTATAACATATACGTGAAATGTTTTGCAATGTATTGTAGATGAGTTTAAGATGTCCAGAGGGAATTAGTCACAATGACATCTATATCATTGCATGCTATCAAATATTAAACTGTTGCTGTCTAGTATTGATTTTTCAGAATATGACTAAAGGGATACATTTTAAGCCATAATAGGAAGCCAAACAACGACTGTTTTGATTATATAAATAGACAAACATATTTTTTCAGATATGGTAATTTTGTCTTCTAAGAAATTCTTCGGTAATCTATAAGTAGTTATATTTTTATTTAACATTCAGTCCATTTCATTAATGCTTTGCTGAAGGTCACATTAACAACATTTGCAATATAAGACAATATCAGAAGTAACAGTTCTGGCTTTACAGTGCCATATAGTGTAAAAAATGTCTCATAAATGATAAAGGATATGTGTCACGGAAGGAATTTTTCGATATTCTTTGGAATTATTTGCAATACAGTGAAACTATATATATACGTATAAATTAGTTTTTATTATGGCCAACATGTTTGCGGTCTTGTTTCATCATAGACGCTATCATAGAATTACTTGTTTATGATGTACACTCAAAACATCAACATTTCTATTAAATATTCGTTAAAGGCATACGGTGCAACATTCTTATTAACACTACACAATATCATTGTGTGTTGTTTTACTCTCAGCATCTATTACATATACTGATATAATCACACCAACAATCGCTATTGTGTTTGAGTAACAATCCAATCGTTTGAAAGCGTTTTCTATATGATACGCTGATGATACTATCTAACAGTTTTTAATGATTAAGATATTAAGTTTCTTCATAAGTTCCATAAGTAATGTTATCATACGGTGACTAACTACTTATATATATATATATATATATATATATATATATATATAAGTATGTTCAGTTATATACTTATGTAAATAACGAAGTTTGTTGATGCTAAGTATATAGTAAAATAATGCTTTATAAAAGATAATTATGGAAAAAATAAGGTAAGCCGAAGGGTGCAAAATGTCAAATTACACAAGGCGTTATTGTATCGAGTTTGAATGCCCATTGGTTCAATCAGTTGTAAAGACTGCACTCAGTGTGATTTATGGGAGGGACCCGAAATGTAGTATCACTATATCTGTGTCGGCACTACATCATCCCACACTTGTGTGATAACGTAATTCTAAATGCTCCAGAATGACATCACCATATTGTAGTAATCGTTACATATCACAATATACAATTATCTGAACTCTGCCTGGATGGAAACTTGGTACCCTGACATTTGAAGGAGATATGGGGCACGTGAGCTGTCATGAATAGGGTATTTTGTGATAACGTAACACGGTTGGCATTGGCTGTAAATATTTGCAACAACCGTCAGTTATACGACTACGAGGTGGCTTAGTATACAAGAAATGTATATTAGTGAGATATTATTTACGTCCGTGCTGCATGGGTGTGTAAATGACCGCGTGACATAATTCAACTTCCTGCTATAAATACAATGGATATGAAGATGATGTTGATGCTATGTTGTTTTATACTGTTTATCTTGGATATTAAATGTTCAACTCCTGCGAATGTCTGTCAAAACACCGTAAGTATGATCACTCTCTTACGATGGGGGTAAGCAACGTTTGTGCTACACAGTGTAGTTAGGTACCTTTATGCTGTATCGTAACTTAACCACAATGATTTCGGGTGTTCTATCTCTTATTGGTTTACAGGTCACATGCGTCTACGCTAGATGTCTCATTTCACTATTCACGAAGAAAAGTTACATATATGTCTAGTACGATATTTCCTCTCGTACCATAAGTTCAACACACCCTTTCAGGATAATAAAGTATTGCTATGCACGCAAGGACCTTAAATGACCTAGTTCTGTATCCGGATATAAAATTGGACTTTGATTTGTCAAATAAAACTCACCTTCTTTATCTTTACCTTATCTAATGTACTCACTTGAATCTGTTAACTTCATTTTTGGACAAAATCAATCATTGAATGGGGGTGACTATTTACTCAAGACTTTATATCATGTTACGTAACTTGGAATACATACAAAATAAATTATCGTTGGGATTGATTTAGGGATCGAAAACCTAATAAAATTGAATAAGATATCGCGAGGTGTATTACGTAATCTACCGTACAAAAGACACCCAAGAGAAAAAAAAATAATGCAAGTTTAGAATCAGATAGGACGGGAGAGCCAAATAACGAACTCACGACGTAAATGCATTACACAGCTTGTTCTGTTTACGATTTCCTTTTTATAGTTTCATATTTCTGAGATTTTTAAGGTAGTAGCAGTTAGATGTATTTTACAGTGATGTAAATACTAATTCCTCTTTATTAATTAAATACAGGGACACACATTGTGTTTCAGAATCTGCAGTTTGTTCTGATATATCTATATACCATTTCACCACGTGTTTGAGTTACAGATAAGAGTACATTTTCTGGGTTTCCCTTATCTGTTTTCCCATGGTCTAGTTACATAGAGAATCTGTGGTGGGATTTCCTCTCACATCTTCACGTTAAATATGTTATTTCCGTTACATTCCGATTTGACCCAAAATAGAAAAAAAAAAAAAAAAATGAGAAAATATATAAGCAGAAAAAAAATCCTATGCGTTTATTTTCATATATTATTAGAAAAAAATTAACATTTGATGAAATGTTGTTTTTTTTTTTAATTTATTTTCATGTCATCCTATTTTCCATGATAGAAAGTTTTTTTTTTCAGTTTTCTTTGATATTCAATTGCACCAGGTTGTTATGTACTTTAAGAATGAAGATGACTCATAAAACACAAACACAGTTCACTTGAGTATTTTCAGTGCTTTCAAAGCCATCGGATGAGATATGAAGATTTCCATTTTTTTGATATATTGGCATTTCAAAATGGCTACAAAACATCATGATGTGTTTATTAACGATTAATTACTACAAGCTGAAAGACAATGTAGATGTGATGTCTTGAAAGGACCAAGATTAATCTTTGTTTTCAACCTTATGGTCATTTTTTCATTTTGATTCAATTTATAATGAGTATTTATTTTTCTTCTTACATGCATGATGTTGTCGTCTTGTACTCGTCAGTAGACAGACATATACAACCATTATTAGCAATCATCCTAATTAACAAAGTTAAGTCATTGCCGGACATATTAATTAGTGATTAAAGACGATGCAGGTGAGGACGCACTATCATTTTTTATGGAACTAAATGGTGTTTAGATTTACTTACAAATGGATGATTTGTTATGTTCTTTCCTCCCGTACATTGTTGAATATATAAATTGTTCTCTTTGCAGTCACGGGTTTGTTCGTCGCCGGCAACGCCTTGTACATGCAAAAGTAAGTTCCGGATCAGGCTAATTACAGCATTAGTGCACCAACTTACTCATTAATTAGAATATCAGCAACCCTCTTGTGCAAATATAACACTTATTTGATAATTAATTAGTTTTGACAGCAAGAAAATTCACGATTCAAGTATGACTCTTGAAACATAATGCTGCTAATTGATAGTACCAAATGTCAACACAATCTTAATTTCTTAATACAAAGTCAAATGCGAACATGGGCAAAATATGAGCAAAACACAGATTTCCGTGGAAGCTCCTGAATATGTACAAAGGGTGTGACTCTTAGGGAACACCAGTGTCATGTCAAATAGTAGAAAGGCGTAGTTTCGAATGATATAATTGTGAATTTGTAATTTGTGAAAAAGTAACTTTGATAATCCTCGGGATACAGTGTTTATCTATGGAAGTGTTTGGTGTACTTTATAAACTTTGACATATTTCTAATTTATAATATCATTAACCATTGAAGACTCAGAATATTGTTGTAAATGTATATAAATATAAGGAGAATGATGCGTAAATATATAGTACAGAACAGGTCTGCATGATATAGTTTGCAATCATACCGAGAACGTGGAAAACACGTCTATTCTCAGGTATGACCGGGTGCAAACTACACTCGATATTGTAACACACCGTCGCACATCACCTTCGGGACGAGTTGACATATGATCGAGCGTGTCGCGATGACGAATTTGTCCAAGATAACGTCAACACAATGCGCCGTGTGCATCCAGAAATCCTTTTCCACAACAATATTTTGTATTTTATATATATATATATATTAATGGGGATATCGATAAAGCGAGGGTTATTTGCTAAATAAAGTGACTATTGAAAATGGAGAAACAAAGATCAGGCGTTGCAGAAATGTTAGCGTCTTCTGCTTCATCATGCATCAAACTAAGGTACATTTATGTTTTTAATCAGAGAACTGTAGTATTTACAACGAAGCTATTAGGCATAAACAAAAACAAACCACTTATCGCACTAGATATTAACACTTTTATAGGAAAGACATGATATGTATACGATCAAAATTTACAAAAACAATGAATATGTTTTTGTTTGATAAAAGAAAACAATTTATGGGCATAATATTATTTTATTTTGCAGACTATTACGAAATAGCCACGATATGCTTCTATGTAGACATCAGCAGCAATACATTTGCTGTTGAGATTTCTTCCCAGGAAACGGCAAATTTCCTGATACGAGTTTTCCCTGAATCCAACACGAATCGAATTTTAAGAATTGAAACGGCATCGGTAGGTTAAGTATGAAGAAGTTATATGTAATAATTCCTGGTGTCTTCGATTGTTTTTCGCCTTCTTTTAGTCTGTTCTGATGTGCGTTTTTTTTTTAAATGTGTGACCATTTGCATAAAACCTTTAAAGCTCCTGGTTAATTTATCCTAATATATAGATGCGATGTCATTGCATAACGTAGTCTTGGAAAAAAGTCTGAATGGATTAATTAAAACAACATCTTGTTTATAATGCAAGGCAATTCGTAATGTATGTGAAAGGTAACTACGACCCCTTATTTAAGAAAGCGAGCAATGAGGGCTATGTAAATACAAAATGCAACAGATTTATAGTATGGCATGAGTGCATTTATTCCAAATCAGTTTTCAGAAACCTTTTCTTTTATATTTTCCCTTTCCATTTCCCGATAGTCATATCTCTTCTGATCTCACAATGTGTTAAAACAAAAACGAATGCACCACGAATTCTGCAAAATTTATATGGGATAGAAAAAATTCGATGATCCATGAATGTACAATCGGTCATCTATGTATACATGCAATCCTACTTTATTTTATACTGAACAAACAACAACGTAACGATTAATCAGTTTCTCTTTTATCTTTCTGGACACAATGGAACAAATACTATATTGAAAGGTGCAGGACATCTGTTAACTGACATTCCGCTATCACATCAAAACCAGCCAGACTACATAAACTGATAAAGCATTTGTATTTTTAATTGGTCAGGCGTCCTGCCGGTTGTTTAACATGCCAGAGGGAAACTACAAAATAAAGGTATGATATGAAATGCATTTTTAACTGAATAATTGATAACTAATTTAATATCAAGTTTGCCTACGGCATTATTTCATAACACAATACCAATGTAGTATTATGCATTCGAACAATCGTTAAGGATTTAGTTTTTAAAATACTCATCAGAAAAATATTTTAGAAAATGTGGCAAACACATGATATCTAATTACCACGCAAACGTGAACCATTATGAATCAGTACTGCGACGTGGATTTCTCTATATCTATGTGATAAAAACCGATCTGTTCTGCTTTCCTATCGAAGAGGAAGTCTGGCGAATAGAGATCGTATTTCTTTACCATGATGAAAAAAAAAAATTCCCGGCGGAAATTCCGCTATGAAATTCATGAATGTTCGATAGATATAAAAATCAGCCACATCCGCTGACATCATCAAATTCTAGGAAGTGTACTTATAAGATAAGATAAAACATTTTGAGTCATCTTTTGAAAAGATTTCACAGGAAATGTCATTTTGTTATGCTAAACGTATTTTTACAAATGCATAGTGGTGGAAATTAATGTTTGTTGTTTTCCCCTGGTTATTTCAATAAACAAACATTATGTTTAGAGGAAGAATAAATAAATAATTGATATAATCAATAATGTAAGAAATATTTGATTTGTTGTCATAGCTGCGAGTGCGATGGTAAATCAACAGAAATGATCTTCTATATCAATTATTATCTATGTGATAAACATAGATTTAATTACATCTTCACATTACTGATTATTCAACTGCTCATATCATTTTTCATTACTAGTTATCTGGTAAGTTAAAGAACATAACTCATTGTTTGTCTCTTTCAAATACGTTAAACTAGTAAGCTAGAAAGTTAAAGAATAAAAAATAATCTAAATGTATTTGTGGCCAGTTTAGTCAAGGTTACGAGTAATGTTGATCTAAGAAATGTTAAGTAAATATTAACCCTACTTACAGTGATCTGTTTCTATATAGACATTAAGGCCTACTTACAGTGAACCTGTTTCTATATAGACATTTAGGCCTACTTACAGTGATCTGTTTCTATATAGACATTAAGACCTACTTACAGTGATCTGTTTCTATATAGACATTTAGGCCTACTTACAGTGAACCTGTTTCTATATAGACATTTAGACCTACTTACAGTGAACCTGTTTCTATATAAACATTTAGACCTACTTACAGTGATCTGTTTCTATATAGACATTTAGGCCTACTTACAGTGATCTGTTTCTATATTAACATTTAGACCTACTTACAGTGATCTGTTTCTATATAAACCTTAAAGCCTACTTACAGTGAACCTGTTTCTATATTAACATTTAGACCTACTTACAGTGATCTGTTTCTATATAAACCTTAAGGCCTACTTACAGTGAACCTGTTTCTATATTAACATTTAGACCTACTTACAGTGATCTGTTTCTATATAAACCTTAAGGCCTACTTACAGTGATCTGTTTCTATATAGACATTTAGACCTACTTACAGTGATCTGTTTCTATATAGACATTAAGACCTCCTTACAGTGATCTGTTTCTATATAGACATTTAGACCTCCTTACAGTGATCTGTTTCTATATAGACATTTAGGCCTACTTACAGTGATCTGTTTCTATATAAACCTTAAGGCCTACTTACAGTGATCTGTTTCTATACAGACATTTTGACCTCCTTACAGTGATCTGTTTCTATATTAACATTTAGACCTACTTACAGTGAACCTGTTTCTATATAGACATTCAGACCTACTAACAGTGAACCTGTTTCTATATAAACATTTAGGCCTACCTACAGTGATCTGTTTCTATATAAACATTTAGGCCTCCTTACAGTGATCTGTTTCTATATAAACCTTAAGGCCTACTTACAGTGAACCTGTTTCTATATTAACATTTAGACCTCCTTACAGTGATCTGTTTCTATATAAACCTTAAGGCCTACTTACAGTGAACCTGTTTCTATATTAACATTTAGGCCTACTTACAGTGAACCTGTTTCTATATAAACCTTAAGACCTACTTACAGTGATCTGTTTCTATATAGACATTTAGGCCTACTTACAGTGAACCTGTTTCTATATTAACATTTAGACCTACTTACAGTGATCTGTTTCTATATAAACCTTAAGGCCTACTTACAGTGACCTGTTTCTATATAAACATTTAGGCCTCCTTACAGTGATCTGTTTCTATATAAACCTTAAGGCCTACTTACAGTGATCTGTTTCTATATAAACATTTAGACCTACTTACAGTGATCTGTTTCTATATAGACATTTAGGCCTACTTACAGTGATCTTTATTAATATTTAGGCCTACTTACAGTGATCTGTTTCTATATAAACCTTAAGGCCTACTTACAGTGATCTGTTTCTATATAGACATTTAGGCCTCCTTACAGTGATCTGTTTCTATAGAGACATTTAGACCTCCTTACAGTGATCTGTTTCTATATAGACATTTAGACCTACTTACAGTGATCTGTTTCTATATAAACCTTAAGGCCTACTTACAGTGATCTGTTTCTATATAAACCTTAAGGCCTACTTACAGTGATCTGTTTCTATATAGACATTTAGGCCTACTTACAGTGATCTGTTTCTATATAAACATTTAGGCCTACTTACAGTGATCTGTTTCTATATAAACCTTAAGGCCTTCTTACAGTGATCTGTTTCTATATAAACCTTAAGGCCTACTTACAGTGAACCTGTTTCTATATTAACATTTAGGCCTACTTACAGTGATCTGTTTCTATATAGACATTTAGGCCTACTTACAGTGATCTGTTTCTATATAGACATTCAGACCTACTAACAGTGATCTGTTTCTATATAAACATTTAGGCCTTCTTACAGTGATCTGTTTCTATATAAACATTTAGACCTACTTACAGTGATCTGTTTCTATATAGACATTTAGACCTACTTACAGTGATCTGTTTCTATATAAACCTTAAGGCCTACTTACAGTGATCTGTTTCTATATAAACCTTAAGGCCTACTTACAGTGATCTGTTTCTATATAAACCTTAAGGCCTACTTACAGTGATCTGTTTCTATATAGACATTTAGACCTACTTACAGTGATCTGTTTCTATATAGACATTTAGGCCTACTTACAGTGATCTGTTTCTATATAAACCTTAAGGCCTACTTACAGTGATCTGTTTCTATATAAACATTTAGGCCTACTTACAGTGATCTGTTTCTATATAGACATTTAGGCCTACTTACAGTGATCTGTTTCTATATAGACATTTAGGCCTACTTACAGTGATCTGTTTCTATATAGACATTTAGGCCTACTTACAGTGATCTGTTTCTATATAGACATTTAGGCCTACTTACAGTGATCTGTTTCTATATAGACATTTAGGCCTCCTTACAGTGATCTGTTTCTATATAGACATTTAGGCCTACTTACAGTGATCTGTTTCTATATAAACATTTAGGCCTACTTACAGTGATCTGTTTCTATATAGACATTTAGACCTACTTCAGTGAATCTGTTTCTGTATAAACATTTAGACCTACTTCAGTGAATCTATTTCTGTATAAACATTTATACCCGTCTTCTTAACAACCAAAAATTGTATTGACAAATAAGCCCCGTTAACAAAACGATTTATGTTGATTAATAACATGTTATTGTTGTATTTTTCTTTTTTGAAACGCTTTTAAAACAACTTCTACCATATTTCAGTCATATATCAACCTACTTACAGTGATCTGTTTCTATATAACATTTAGGCCTTCTGTTTCTATATAACATATAGACCTAACATGAACTGAAATTTATCTTATAAAATGACCTACTTACAGTGATCTGTTTCTGTATAAACATTTAGAACTTCAGTGAATTTTACAATTTACAAAAATTCAGTATTAATTGGCTTAATCCCCTGAGAATTAGAAACAATGATACTTGATTTCATTTGTAATATTTTACATGGTAATGCTTTGCTATTTCAGGTTGAGTCGAGAACACTGCGAAACCAAGTGAAATGTTTCTGTGGAGGCGATATGGAAGATTGGTGTGTATATTGTGATACCCAGGTCACTGTTGTTGATTATTCAGGTAATCATTTTAATGTTGTTTTTGTAAGAGTTTAGGATTACATTGAAACATAATGTTTGGAGTTTATATTCAAAACGAAATAGGTTAACTGCAGTAAAACTATATTTTGATATACAACGTATCAAAATATAGCATTATTAATGAAGATGCTTGTAATTTAATTCCTAATTAAAACTTTTATTTTAATGGCTTAACGTAGTGATTTTGCCTTCTGACCAGATAATTGGACCGCCTTGCCACAGACTCCAATATATATATCTACAAAAGCATTTTCAACTTTAGCAACATCAAAGCCACTTCTTTCCAAAACATATCTCAATGAACCGTCATATGATCGTAAATATGATACATTTGTTGACGAATCCACATTCCAAGCTAACGGATCCGCTTCAGACAATGAAACCCAACGGGACACAGCAGAGAAAGACTTATTAACTGTGACTGGATCAGAATATGTAATTCTTATTGTAGTTACATGTGTCTGCTTCGTCCTGGTGCTTCTGATTATTGTACTCGTCAAATGCTGCAAAGGTATGCAAATCGGCCGTAATTGATTTAATACTATAGTTGGAAAACGACAGATACATCAACAGGTAGAGTGATTTCCATCAAGTCAAAATGGGACAGAATTTCAATTCTATATCCAAATGTTGATCAATCATTTAGCCCTTAAAGGCAGCATGTGTATTTAAATGGATAATGGATATCGCCTAAATGACATGATAAATGTGCCTGCCTTTGTTGAATAACAGACCAGAAAGAAAGCTCCATCCTGTTTCCATTATGTCCGATCGAAAAGGGGAGATCATTCATGATCAGTGATGAATAACATAAACATTCACGCACGTATGTAAAAGTTCACAAACGCACAATATTTTAGTCACGCCTTCTGATGAAGTTTATAAAATTACTACCAATGGAAATTATTTCAAACCAACAAGTAAATTAATATATAACTGGGGAACGTAACTCAGGCAGCTCCTGCTGTTATTTCATCTTCTGAATGTAACATTTTCACATTTTACTCGGGCTGACCAGGTGGCTACGGTGCGACACAGTAAAATAACACTAGCATAGAACAGTATGTCCTGCTTAGTTTACACATTATCTGCGCGAGTGTCAAAGAACAAGATTAGGACATTACCGAGGAGTAACTCTAATGATTTTTTTTTAATTTCACATCTTCAAAATGTAAAGGATAAACTGTATCAACATCTTTAAAGTACTTCCGCATCAAAATTGATACCCTGAAGATTTTGGCGTTGTATCAATCTAGGTTTATTTAAAATCAGTTTCTTTTCTACAGAAAATCAAATTCAAGATAATATCATCATTATTTGTATAGTATTACTCATTTCATTTGTGTCATAATGTCTGCCGTGGTCAAAGATGACGTTAAAGCATTGCAAGTATATTATATCGATGAAAAACATTATTTAAGGATATCAACTGAAAAGCGATAATTACAGACCAGACATCAATCATAATTCACTTTATGTAGTATGATCACCACTTCAGGAAGGTTTCGTGGAGGTATTACCAAGGCTAGCCATCTGACCTCTTCTTCAACAGCGGAAGTACTGCCACATCCCGAGAGCCTTCTTACGGGTGAGTGTTTTTTTTTTCATCATAAATATCTAAATAAACGATATCCTAGTAGTCTTAGAATCACCAGTGAATAGTTATGAGATCACTGTGCTAAACATCTTACACATTAAGAAGATAAGTAGTACATCGAAAGGTTCATGCGCCTAGCATTAGTCTTCATCTAACTTTAAAAAACAATATTTACATTTCCGGAATGAATTCACTATTTGGCCTTCCCAATAAAAGTGATGTTTACACTTCGGTAAACGTCAAGTGGTTCACGGTGGAAGTCAGATAGCTGGGTCCTTGTGGTAAATATTAGTATTAATCCGTTATTAAATTTGTTCTATATTTTTTTTATTTTGTATATTATGTAAAAATGAACAAAAACTTCAAAGCATATGTAAATGGACATGCAAATATTTTATCCTGCAACTGACAGTGCAATTGTCGGAATACGCCGCAGTTATTTCTGCTGTATTCCACAGTTACGGAAAACAGCCGTATTATATACTTACTGATTTATTCAAATATTTCATTTCTTCTTTGTTTTAAAAAAGTTTCTTTACGAAAATAACAAAAAAGTGAAACTATTTTTCGCGCGAAGCAACTATTTTGACTTACGTCATCAGACATCATTCAGCGTAACGTCAAATCAGTTACGCAGAGATTGAATAGTCCACGAAGTTTTGATAGTCTGCAATGTCCATCAATGTTGTAGGATAAATAGAAGACATGGTCAGTGTCCCGAAATATAAGCTGCATTTTGGCTCGGGGTTGAAGGACAAAGGGACTTTCTTCACTCTCGCCAAAATATCGCTTATATTATAAGACGCTGGTCATGGTTTCCCTATAAAATATGTCATACTAATGCTTCATAAACATGGCGTTATTGTGGAACATTTTTTTATTTACTTCCTGTAGCTATCAAATTTCCCGCGCATTTGGGATCAGTTGTTTTGCTATTCCAACAGTTGTGTGACTGTTCCTTCATTACGTATAACGTCCAATGAAAGACAAAGTAAATAAAGTAGTGTTATCAAATGTAAATACAAGAAATATCTATCCATGTAAACATCATTTTAAAAAGACATTTCAACGATACGCGCGTCATTGAATAAAAATCTTTTAAAAATCGCAGCGTACACAACCGTGAACAACAAAAAAGAAAAAAATTCTGAATTGCACGTTTAACCGTGAACGTTTGTTTTTTTTATAGAAATAAACAATGAGGTTTTAAACACGACTATTGTACAAAAAACAAAATTGTACTTTACAATATAAACTTAGCACTAGATACAGAAAATCAAAATTATTAATTAACCTTCATCATACTTCAAATTTGATATCAACATCTTTATATCTGTTATTTCTTCACAGAAAATACTGTTATCCTGCCAGCGATAGCAACAGAAAGTGATGCACAACAAAACGCTCTTGATTCCGGTTTTGAAAGTACATCTATGTGCCAGTGTTCTATACTACATAACACATACAATGGAGATGATGTAAATTCTGCCTACGATGAAAAATGGGGAGCCTTCTCAATACCAAAACCTGTAACGTATGAACTAGAACATAACGTCGAATCGGCAATTAGCAAATGTAATGGTTGCAACTCAAAGAACAATGTTCATTGTATTGTTCCAGAGCAGCAGCTGCAGCATTTGGCGCCTTCAGAAGTGTACTTTAGTCCTCCAGAAGATCAGAGTTTGGCTGTGTCAGAAGAAATACATAGAATAAACAGCGCATATATGAAATGTATCGCAGCAGAACGAAATCAACGACTTCCGTTAATGGAGAGGTCGGACGAAACGATTGGAGAATGTCAAGTGTGCAGGAAAACGTTTCGTTCGAAAGCATTGTGTCCTGATCAAGGATATCCCTCTTCGGCATTTGATATAATAAGCTTAGGAGGAAAAAGTGTATAGTTAGAGGAAGTCATTCCAGATGATACGCCTTCTCGAGAGAGAAAAAACAAAGGAGACATTATATAACGATTATTAAACAATATATTAAGGCACAAAACCGTTGTGTGAGCTACAACTGTATCAAGCCATAAGGATCGCCCAACGACAACTTTAATTTCCTGTTGATTGTCCAGGACGTTCCCACTGTGTCGATTTTATTCAGATCCTCTTGGACCAATTGCCAGCTGCAGAACCCACCCCCCCCCCTTGATACAATACATATGTAAGCGGAGTAACGTAACGTTGACCTTTCTTCACGTCTTCATATTTTTGTGTTATTTGAGCTGTGCAGTGAAGAAGGATATCAACAACAAATGAGAGTAAAATACGTCGGTGTTTAAATCTACATGTTCACAGATGGGAGTGTTGCTGATAAAAACCAATCAATATCGCCTTTAGACAACCCAGTGTTTTTTTTGTTTGTTTTTGTTTTCACATGTGTCATACCTTACAACACATGTTGAAGCGCTATATATTTCCATTGCTCGAAAATGCACATTTGCGTCCTCAATGTCATTGAAAGTTTTTAGATAATAAAATTGTACTTGTATGATTCGTTACTGTTACTAGGTGTAATTTTGCGTGTTACAATTTTAGCGTTTTATGATTTGTTTTACAAATTAGCGTAATGATAAGTTCGCGCATCCACAATAATGGCTTTATAAGCAACACAGAGACACTACAATAATATTTCAGCTCACTATTTACAATGCGAAAGGCGCCTAGATAAGATTACCGCCAAAATATATACGTTTACATTACACTTGTTAAAAAGATGCATTTATCACATTTGATGAACAGTGGTTATCTGTTGATGGCATCACCAATCAAGAACTTTGAAATTTGATTGTCGTGATTTTTTTTATAACAACATAAGGTTGTAACCAGGACAGATCTGATGTTTTTTTATGCTTATTGTTATATATATAAGATATATAAATAGTTCATATGTATGGTTGTGAAATTTGCCTGTCTATTGTTATATGTGATTAATTTTGTTTAAAAAGTTAATAAAAATGTCAAAAATGGAAACATAACCTACATTTATCACACAGATGAAATCGCTTTTATCGGCGTTGAAATCAGTATCGTGCTGCAACAGCACACCACAAACAGGGCCACAGAGGTCCAGGAATAAATACCAACACTATTTCAGTGGGATGATGTAATCTGACAAATGTTACGTTACTCGACTGTTGTGTACAGAATAAGTAAGTATTCTATTGTAGTAGACTTATCATTTAACTGCTTAGTTTAAACATATTTCATTGCGGTTAAAAAGAAGATGGGGCACAAGTGCCATCAACGTTATTAACCCCCTTTCCTTTAGAAGAAAAAACAATTGCATATATACATTACAAGATCGCTTAAAATAATTATGTACATATCATTTTTAATTGAGAGAGAGGGGGGAAGAGAGAGAGAGGGGGGGGCGAGAGAGAGAGAGAGAGAGAGAGAGAGAGAGAGAGAGAGAGAGAGAGAGAGAGAGAGAGAGAGAGAGAGAGAGAGAGAGAGAGAGAGGGGGGGAAGAGAGAGAGAGTCACATTCAAAATCTCTGTTTAATAAAAAAAAAGGTTGTCACATGACCAAAGCTCCCTCAAAGTGTGTTCCACATATGCCTATTCTTAATCGCTTCTGTAAACACTTCTATGTCATACTACTTTTTTGTTGTTGATGAGAAAAGGAATTTCGCACGCGTAAGAGATTCGCTGAAGTTCCAGTGATTGGACACCACGTGAGAATTAAAAGATTTATGTTAATATTGAATTAAACATCTCAAGTAATCAACGATTGTTGTTTCATTGTTTTTTTAATGATCTCTAACGAAACAAAATAGAAAAGTATCGTGAACGTTTCAATATCATGTAATTTCTCTTTGGTTAGAAAAAATTGATGGCAATTGAGGTTTCGATCCAAGAACCTCTGGCGTCTAGAGCGGAGAGCTTGCCAATGTGTTATCGTTTCGTTACAATGAAGCGAAAATTTAGAAATCTTATTACGTATGTAGTTTTCTCCAACTATTGAACATATTGTGTGTTAGTATTTGTTTGGAATGCAAAACATGTGTCAAGAAAAAGACAAGACAAGATAACAATGATGTGTGCTGTATATTGATGAATAATTAATATCTCCATGTCATCAAGCTCTGTACCCCTATTTTTACACTAAAGTCTCATAAATAATATACATTACACAAGTCTGATCTTTTATTGAGGATCTATTCGCTCGTGCTTTTATTCTGTACGTGTATGTTAAATGTCATACGGCAGAAAACCTGTATTACATTGTAAGATGACGCCTACAGTTCGTATTTCACATTTTCTATGAATAATGTATAATCGTTACAAAAGTTCATCTTGGAATCAAACAATAACTGCTGGTTAGTTTTATATCATTCAATGAAATATAAACAAGTTCATTGTAACATTTTACTAAGTTACGATGATAAAACCATGAATAATGAGTGAAAAGGTAATAAGAAAGTCAGTTTTTCATGATACTTCAATGACCAGCAAACTAAAATCGAATCCATCTAGTCCGTGTTGATTACTTAAGTAAAAAGTAGATCTTGATCAATTTATAATCACAATTTTCAAAATGAAATGCCCGACATTAGTTCACTGTCTGATTTCATTGGTATTCTAAAATGAGTGCATTTGAAATTAATAGATTTGAAACACCGCGATTAAGATTTGTCCTGTTGTATATATACAGAATACAAGAGTGTATTAAACACGTCTTCAAAACAAAGCCAAGTGTGATTTTTCTGTCAAGCAAGGGTTGTCACATGAACAAAGCTCCCTCAAAGTGTGTTCCGCTTCTGCCTACTCCTAATCACTTCTATAAATGCGGCCGTATATGAGACAGATATATTTGCTAGTACTTCATGGCTAAATAAATACATTTGTATACAATACATCTTAAATATATCACAAAACACAATCACACTTCTTGATATTAACATAATGATAATTATTTTTAAGGAATTGTCATGTGAATGGTACCATCCAGTAGAGCCGACGGAATAAAGACCTTGCACTATTCACTGCTTTCTGCTGTTCACTAATTTCTGTGCCTTGTCAACTGTTGGTTACAATCGCCCTGTAACTGCGGTATAAAAAAAACATTATTGGCATAATAGCATGATTTAGATTACTCTAACAGCTGTCAATTATGTTACATGAAACATACGCTATTGACAACTGTTGCAATAAACAATGTTATCTCACCGTATCATTATGTTATTCACTACACGAATAATCATACTGATAAAAATTACAAGCGTCAAATCGAATTAGAGGACCATAAAATTCCAAGCGTCTAATTGAAAGGACCACAAAGCAATAATTTGATAATGATTCCTGATTAAAAAAAACGTCATATGTCGCAGTATGTTAGTAATATTTGATTGAAAATAGATTTAATAGAAAAAACGAGTTTCCAGTTCAGTGTATTAGAGCCTTTATTTGTTCACATATTTGAAATATCAATGAAGTAAAATCACTTAACGAAACAACTGTTGTAATTATGGATGTATTGTCAATATGAATCACTCCAGCCGATAGATAAACTGCGACCTATAATGAAATGTTGTAATATTGTGAATTGGAACTCTGATAGGAGACCCCTGAAAGCATGCAGATAGAACACAATTAATGTGAATGATAAAAAAAAACAGTTTTTTTTTTCTGTCTCCCAATGATGTTGTGTCCTGCTATTTGTCACCTGCCTTCACTCGAAATATTATCCTAATTGTCTTACATCAACCTAGTTATTAAATGGTTGACGATATAATGACAGTAAACAAAATTAGTAAACAACATTTATGTCTTCAGCTTCAGTAGACAAGGGGAGATACATCTTACATCTCCCAAACAAGAAGACAGTCAGAAACAGAGAAATTGAATCCATTTTCGCCTGTTACTGTTATGTTAACGGCTTTATGACTTTTGCATATCTTTACTGTTACTGACTAATAATATCATTTATATAAGCAGGGCCTTCTATGACTATTTTGAATTCGTTCCGTTATCTTATCGTTATGGCTGGTCATCAAAATCTAATTTCAGATGTCAATGTGCTGGTTTGATCAGAATAATCTATTATGTATTCCACTCAGCGAGTTGCAGGCCGTACTTAAAACCTTTTTAATCAAACAAGGTTATAAACAATAATTAAATTGTCAATTTGGTAACATTAAATTCATGACAAATTGATGTCAACATGTTATAAGCAGTATAAATATTCCAGATAAGGACAGGGTAATATTGATACACCGTTAGCACAGGATGTAAATTATCTTCAATAAATTTTTAATTTCAGAGTGTTTTAATTAAAAATCGTCAATATTGTACAGATCCTAAACAATGATAATAATTTCCATTACGCAGTTTGTCATTTGTCAATAACGTTATTTTTATATATAGTTTCCATAGTAACATGACATGATTTGACAATGAAAAGTAATCCATTTCACTGCTGGCATTGCTAGTTCCGAAAATTAAAGTAATTTCAGTACACAATCAATAATAATTAAAGTGTATTGGATGAGGAATAATTTAAAATAAAACAAGAAAAAGCGATATTCCGTACAAATAGATATATATATTATTCAAATATTGACAAATCATGTTCAATATGTGATTTGATACATATTTCCCTTACCAGACAAAACATAAATTGGGGGTGTAAATCTTACCCTAAGTTTACCCATGACAAACCACGTGTAAAACTCGTTTCAGCGCCTTCTTTCTCAGTTCATCGTTGTAACAGCTTTAAGTTGTGCAGGGTATACGGGTTTCATTATGAAAAAAATACAGTTAGCTTGCTGTTTAAGACATTTGTATTGTAAACAAAAAGGTGCATATACATTTAAAATGGTGAGTTTCAGGTATATACAGATCAGGAAAAACACCGTTTGCTTTTCTAATCATTTGAAATTAAACAATTTTTGGAAGATTTATTCTTGCAACGTATTGTTGAAAAGAAGAAAATGATCGAGTTTGGGGTTCACAATATCGTGGTGGCGTTTGTTAGTATGATTTTCGAGGAGCTTATCAAAACAGGTTACAAAGACCTTGCCGAGTACTTTGATTTCTCTTTTAAATATTGTCTTGTCTTTTCATGAAAAGAAATTTATTAACAGTGCACATTTATATACCCATCAGAAGGGGTAACCAAGGGCTTGACAAGCTCTGGTCAGTCAGCTGCTTGCCTCCATTGTTTTCTACAACAGATACTGTTTCCCACCAAGCTGTATGATTATCATGGTGAATTCAGTTTCTATATCGAGTTTTTCATTTCTTGAAAATAACATACCCGCTTGCCTACCATATGTTCTTTACATGTCGCAGACAATTCGCTATTCAAGGACTTGTTTCCAATATCACCTTAAATATCAACATTTTTGTACATATACTTCCCATAAGAGGAAGGGAAATCATTCTTGTTGACATCGACCTTTCGTGATCAGTACATGAAATAGATGTGCCTATCCATCGGTGTAAAGTGACTTGCTCATTGACAATACGGTACAGAATGATCCGTGATCTAAGTTCCCTGGTAGACTCAACCCACTATACGCACGGGTTATCAAACCACCAGTATATGTACCAGAAATCTAAAAATCCGGTCACAAAATCCGATGACCTGACGACTGAAATATAGAAACTTTCTGTTTTATAGATAAATACTTATACTGTATACAGAATAATATTCATTTCATTTAGATCCTCGCGATTCTAAGGCTATCTAGTACACGTGGAGAAAAAACTCCGCGTCCATACTTATTTTCTTCATCCCATATTTCCCTGTTAACTGGGGTAGATCTAATGAACAGGAAATATTTATATCACAAACCAAACATGTTTATCATTTCAATGCACAAATCAAATTAATACTCTCGAACGCCATTTGTTTATCCATCAACATTACAATAAAAAGACACAAAAGACTTTACAATTAACAGGGCTTCACTACAACAAGATTCATCTTACCTCTGCTGTATTTGGATTGGTCAAATATACCACGCCAAGGCTCAAAACGAAATGTAGTTCATCTTTTTTGTCATCAAAATCTAATTGCATGTTCACTGTCTCTAACGTGGGACAAACTAAACTAGTTATTATTATCTATTACCTAGTCGGGTCTTTGATCATATTGTGATGCCTCACGCTGACAATAGTTTGTCGGCAAGGCGATGTGGGTCCGTTTTGGCACCACGGTAAAGTTGACAAAGAACGCAACAATGACTAACCGTCAAAACTCATTTTATCACGTGACTCAGAGCGCGCGCTCTACACACCAAAGTGACACAGTCCCGATCCCCACAGGCGCCTCAAATGTTCATATTCCATGATTATTACAATATTACATGCAGATATATTATGTTTCAGGACAATCCCAAATCAAATCTCCGCTGAAACGAATTGGCGACAACAATTTATAACCTGTCCAAAATCGAAAATATCTTTATCCGTTTGCTAAATTTTATTATGAACTCAAAACATTTCATGCGAGTTTTAGATCCAATAGTTACTGTCAGGAATATGTCTTGTATCTGTATCTAGAGTAAAATATAAGTTTGGAATATCATATCAAAATATGAACGGTGAGTCTTCCATATTTCTACGACACCAGTTTTGGTGAAAACTTTCATCTTTCAATCTAAGAAATCTTTATCTAATCCGCATATATTTGCAATCTGTTCTTGACAGGAAAAGATATACAGATGAGAGAGGAAACAGCCTTAGCAAGTAGAATAAGGGTTTTATGTAAGAATATCCATGCGCTGAATTAAATGGTATTCTGTCTGAAAATGATATATTCAGATGCATAACTGTCATCATTTTACGAGTAATAAAAAAATCATTTTATGAAACCGTATATATCCGTATGATGCCAGCAATGTCTATACTGAGTTCCATTATTCATACCCACAAGCACAGTCCTACAGGTCAAAACGATTAAATGAAACAAATCAATCTGTCTAGTTGACTAAAATGAATTTATCATTATATTATGTTTTTTTAATGAAGAGATATTGTTTTGTTGGTGTGTCATTTTCCAATATCAAAGCATATTTCACTTCGTGGTTAACACCTGGTCTTATTTTTCCTGTACTTGTTCGGGAGTAAATCTTTCTTTTGTTCATATTCACCCCAAGTTTTGTTGAATGTGAGTTTTGATTATGATAAAATAGACTTATATGACTTTATAGCATCAGAAAGCAATTATCGATAGTCAATTAGTATGTTATGAGTAGGGTACTGCAGTAATGAAATCTGATTTTTTCAACGTTAAAATTTTGATATAGCTTTGTTTTGGAGGTTTTTTGTTTTTGTTTTTTTTTTCAAATGCCATGATCATTGTCTTTGACAAAGTATGATTACATAACATCAAATAGATAATTACAAATGACATGGTACAAATGACAGGTTGCAGGTATTTTGATTGCTATATTCATATGCAACTGTAGTATTTCAAATGTGTGTTTTATACTGTTTTATGAATAATTTGATTGGATTTGTTACATTCCTGAGTTTGTCGTAGTTACGCGTCCAAGTAATTCATGTTATTCAAAATTCATGGTATGCGTGACATGACGCTACAGACCTGATGGTCTTCTAAAATTATCATAAAGAAATTTTAGAAATTTACTTAATCATGGGGCTAGTGCAACCCAATAGAGATTTTGACATTTCTTCCGATCATTTTTGGTTTTCCTCAGTTGCTTCTAAGGTTTACGATTTAGCCCCTTAGTATCACTAACGAGTCCTAGGGAATGAAACAGCTGTATGATGTGGCATCACTGACGAGTCCTAGAAGGAAGAAACAGCTGTATGATGTAGCATCACTGACGAGTCCTAGAAGGAAGGAACAGCTGTATGATGTAGCATCACTGGCAAGTTCTAGGAGGACGAAATAGTTGAATAATGTAACATCACTAACGAGTCCTAGGGAAAGAAACAGCTGTATAATGTAGCATCATAGACGAGACCTAGGGGGACGAAACAGCTGTATAATGTAGCATCATAGACGAGCCCTAGGGGGACGAAACAGCTGTATGATGTAACATCAGAGACGAGTCCTATACCAGGACTAAACAGCTGTATGATGTAGCAACAGAGACGAGACCTAGGGGGACGGAACAGCTGTATGATGTAGCATCACTGATGGGTCCTAGGGGGACGAAACAGCTGTATGGTGTAGCATCAGAGACGAGTCCTATAAAAGGACTAAACAGCTGTATGATGTAGCAACAGAGACGAGACCTAGGGGACGAAACAGCTGTATGATGTAGCATCACTGATGGGTCCTATGGGTACGAAACAGCTGTATGATGTAGCATCAGAGACGAGGCCTAGGTGGACGAAACAGATGTATGAAGCATTAGAGACGAGACCTATGGGGACGAAACAGCTGTATGATGTAGCATCAGAGACGAGACCTAGGAGGACGAAACAGCCGTATGATGCAGTTTCATTCGTTGTTTGACTCTGTCTTATCTAAAATCGTATAAGAAAATACTAGTCACTTGGTTGTACTTTTTATTGTATAAACGTTAACCCTCTATTATATTTCAAGTTTAAAGGTGAATGAAGTTATTGGCATTTCTTTGTGGTGTTCTCTCTCTAAACTGATAACCTATGAATGATTTCCACAACTCTCCATAACTACCTTCAACAAGTTATAGGTTAATATCAGAAATGAAATCACCACATATAGTGTATCATTCTGTTGTCTCATATGCGTGACAAGCGTTATTAGTGATTTAAAGTGCGTCATCATAGTCAGTGCGCAAACACTGGTATTTATATTCATATTAAGGGTTTGTCAGTGTCAAACACTTATTTACGACAAGAGAACTGTGACAAACAGATTACGAAAATGTCAATATCATGTTTTGCGAATCTTGCCTTTTTTATTTTTATTTTCTGTAGATTCGATTCGTATACTGATTCCGAGTCGTCTGGAATTTTTTTACAATTTATCAATTTATGAGACCAACGATGAATTCGAAGCGCCAGTATACAACCAGAAGCTATTGCAAACACCTCTGTTAGAATGATGTTTCTTTTAATGTTATTGATATAACCTCTTCTATCAAAACATGGAGACGAAACACGAGTCTTATTGATTACCTCCAAACTGATTGCGTAACACGTCCAATCCCGCTTTAAACATTCACATGTAGTACATGAAGGTTACATATCCCAGGGTGTATATAGTACACCACACATCCTGTTTCTAACCAGCAATGGACGGACACACTTTTCTACTCTTGCTACCGAATATTTATTTTGCAGTTGTGTCCACACAACACACCGATTTTAACTTCACAAAGGGATTTGATTGTTCAATGGAATATCAGGTATGTTGAAGTTGTTGACATAGACATTCTGTATGTTTGAACATCAGTGCCATTGAATATGTGGTAAAACCCTTGCTGTTTTTATCGAATGAGCTCTTTACACACTATCGTACTGTTAATGTTATCGACGATGACGCGGGGTAACAAAACATGGGGTGTATTTGAGAGAGCAATGTTATCATATCTAAAATCATCTTATATAGACAATTATTGAGTGCAAATGAAATGAAATTCTTCTTTAACAAAGGGATAAGATTTCATATTTCTGTCAGCATACCTATATCCAAAAAAAAACAAATTTTGTTTTATCATCGGTCATTACATCAATATTCAATTATTGACTTATAATGTTTTTTTTTTCAATATTTCACTGTTTATTGCATTATACGTGTTAGATAGTGATATACATAAACCTTTTTTAACTTTTAATTGTAGGACTTTGTACCTCTACAAACAATTCATACAGTGACGGTAGTTGAAATTAATTTAATCAAGTGCAATTTAATTCAAATAAATTATTAGTGCAGTAACATGCCCAGTTTAAAAATGTACTATAGCTCCTTATAGAAATTTCAAACGTATAGCCAAACAGCCACGGATTTCCTTCATTCAAATTTTCGAAAAACCTTTGACATTGTCATTAATTTTGTACGAACGGTTTAAAAGGAGTTTCGGTCCAAATCGCTTTGGCGACACAGTTTATAAGATATGCGTCTCCCACCTACACTAAAATGTTCTGTTTAAAGCAGTAATACGACATTGGAATGACAACCTTTCAAATCTGCATTCATTAGTTAAATTCTTATCTCCGGTCATTTGTTAAGTTTTTATTTTAGAACTCATAAAACGAACACTGTAACTATCAATTGATTTTTTTTTTTGTTCGCTGATGTGAAAGTCATAAGAGGTCAAGTTAGTAAAAACTGCAATATGCTTCTTCTTTATACCTAGATATTCAAACAATAGCGAAAAAAACCCAAACAAACAAACAAACAAACAAATCACTGCAAAAGACGGAGATATATTCTACAAATATGACAACAAGAGAAGACAAGCGAGAAAATTTCATTTCTCATCTGTTTCATCTATATTCAATTGTTATCAATGTAGATCGCAAATGCACCTATCCTGTCGAGACAAGGCGATCCTTTCGTATTCATTTTATTAATTGTAATCAAATATAAACATTTCTGGGGCAGTATCCGCAAGTTTTTATTTTACAGGTGCATTTGCACCAGCGCATTTTAACTGAAATATTTGTCATTTCGGGTGTGTTTGTGTTTCAATAACAGTGTGACGACTATCTCTGAAGTAGTTGAAGCACCGCTTGTATTTTAAACGTTTATCTAATAGGAAGAATAAAAAATAATGCGATTGGCATACCTCGGTTACCGTTTGATAACTTTGCATGGGATATTTCTGATGATTTTGTGAAAAATACTTGTTCCGAATAGTAATCAGATTTTGTCACTGAACTATATTACCACTTCAATATACTTATATTCTATGTTACTAGGTCATTTGAAACAATTTTGTTTATGTTTTGCTATTTTTTATATATAGCTGTACAAAGTATGTAAACAAAGTATCGAACCACTGTGAATTATAAAATGTAGTATATTGTTTACATATAGCGGTACAAAGTAAGTAAACTTGTAACACAAAGTATCTAATCTGCTAAACGCTTCATCCGTAAAAATGGTTTCTGCTTCCTATATATCCATCGACCCACTGTTAATAAAAAAATACCTTAAAATCAACATCGTATCTTGTATATCATCGATATTTTCCTGTCACACAGTACAAGAAGAGACACACATACACAGTGATACAAAATAACGTATTCTTTGCGTTACAATTTACAATAACAGTTTTTATTTCCGTGTTCCCCTTTGAATAGAGATAATGTTTCATTTTACTCGCCAATTATCAGTCTAACTTCATGTTCAAGAACATTGTCAGTACCAGTACTAGTTTCCTTAGCAAAACGGCAATTGTTTCGCTGTTAGAAATCTTTTCAGCAAACGTACCGAAATATTTGCTGCCTCTGTCTGTATCAGTTTGTATAACATTGCTTTGCTGCTAATTCATTGCGAAACCAACAACAGAACATAACGGGAAAACCCCCTTTTTTTTTTTACACAGAAACGTATTGTGTTCTGCGAATATGTTGGCATGTTTGTCACAAAAATTACAAGTTTCAATTACTGGCCTACGATTGTCAATTATACATCTTCATGGAGAGATTTAATTGAAAATCGACCTCTCAATGTACAAGGTGATGCATCATATAATGATCATGATGTTTGTATTGTTTTCAGAGTCTCTGCAGCGTCCGTCCATATACTAATGAAGAAAGTAAGTAAATCGCTAAATTAACTTCATAATATGTTGGGTTTGACAATTTTATCTTATTAACATTGATTAATAAAGTTAAATAATGCATTGACATATTGCCGTCTGGTCGATAATAAACATTATCATCCGTGGCTTACTATAACTACAATTATACACAACATTAAAATCACATAATTAGTCTGAAAATTCAACAATATTAGAAACGATATGAAAGTTACATGTGACAGTTGAAGGGCGAGTGGCAAGGAAATGAATACTCCATAAAAAGCCCAACGGGTGTTACGAGTATTTAAACAGGTGCGGAGATAGCAAAGTATTATAATTTATCGGGGCACCTCTCCAACCTCAAAGTTTATCTCTAAGTACAGCTCTTCCTTTCCTGTTCCAAAATAAAGACTTTGTATGCTTTCATCATGACAAAGCAGAACAAATATGATATCATATATAATTATGTAATAATATTAAAGTATCGAAAAAGTGGTTGTTACGTCATAAATAGACCTAATGGTAACTTACATAACATATGTATCTGTAGTAATTAGGCAGAGAGCTCAAGTGTGAATGCAGTTGATACAATTTACTGATAACTCGATGTGTGGATTTCGTTTCAAAGATTGGCGTCATGTACCTCTCAATTAAATAAAAAGGAAAAAATGAGATTTAAGTTGTTGCTTTCTCGGACATATCAGTTTTAATGAGAGTTGAGAAAGAAGAAGTTTGACATAATTTTGCAAAGACCAGACCTGCAGTTAATGAGGATAACATTGTTATTCTTTATAAGATATGTTTTTTTTTCAAATTAATATAGATCTCTTTACAACAGGTAATGGGAAGCAATGTAATTGCCGTTTCAACATAAACGTGTGTCTGGCGTCAGAAAACAGCATTGTCTTCGCCTACATTCCGCCAAATGTGAAATACGGAATCAGCGAGAGTAATGTATATTTGAACTTGTATGACGGCGCAGATACCGAGTACTACAACCCATTCCGGATCAATCTCTCAACCAAGGTAACACCTACAATAGTTGAATACTTTCTGAGGTTGGAACAAGTAAAAATCTAAATATTTAGAAATAATGTCTACAATATGTGTCGCCATTACGTTGACCATGTAGGTGATACAAAGAATTAGAACGTATACGTATTTATATTTCTCTACCATTGAAAATTTTAAAAAAAATCCCAAAGACAGCACATCTTCTCAGTGAATCTTTTATCTTGTGGAATAAAAAAAAATGTGAAATTTGGTCCATATTAAACTGAACCATTACGTCATTAACAAACACAACAACAAGTAAATCGTTGCTGATATTTCAGCATAGAAAATAAATCGATCAATGATCAAAGATACGGTGAAATCTATCTTAGACAAGACATACTCATTTTTAAACTTTTACTTTTAAACTTTTTAAAATAGATTTACAAATACGTTTGCATAATGATAAAAAAATTATTTTATTTTTCTAATGTAAAATACGTCCATACCTAAACGTATGTATTTTTGTTTAATCGTTTTGTCCCATTTACATCCAGATTCCTGTAAACCAGACGTACGAATTATTTAACTCAAGAGAGTTATCTGTCCAGATGCCCAACGTTTTTTTGCTGTGAATGGATGAACTTGGGATTGGATTTCCTTTTAATTATTATACTTCTTAATTATACGCAATAACTAAGGTCCGTTATACTTTTTTCAGACACCATGCAAGTTTAAGGACGTACTTCCTGGAGAATATGATGTGTGGGTGAGTAAAACATCTAACAAACAAGTTACCCTTTGTGGGCAATACAAGTGACATAATATAGGATATAGTTTTTTTTCATGTATATACTGTATAAGTGTTTAATTCTATGGGGGCATATATTTCGCGGTTGTCCGGTTTGGTCTACTTCATGAGTATTTAATTTCGTGTTTTTCTACCGATTCGTATTGTGTATGAAGGTATAACAGATTTTTCTTGTGTTTCAATTCGGTGTACATATGTATACTGGGTACTTGATTTCGCGTTTTCTTTAACAACAGCGTATGTAGTGAAAATTAATACCCGCGAATATTACCTTTTTACAATATTTTACACGGTATATGATCATAACCCTGTGGTTTTGCAAAGCACAAATGTACCAGGTAAATATCATGAATGCATTACAGTAGTTTTTTTCACAAAATGATACGGCCGATATGTGACCCGAGATTGCAATGGTTAATTAAGTGTCACTTACAAGAAGTAGTTCTTTTTCCAAGTGTCTTCATGTCTATTAGACATACGATTTAAAATTGATATGAAGTTCATAGCCCGAAAGAAAACAAAACAAAATTACGTGTTGTGGCATTGTATCACACCAGCCCTGCTGTAGCTCACTGAAAGTCTCCGAAGACGGGAAATCTAAAAAAAAAAAAAAAAAAAAGCATGCTTCAGTTGTCAACATTTTTTAAATCTAAAAATATGAATGATTAAATGTGTTTACAAAATAACGAGTGAATTTATCAATTTATCAAATAAGTTCCCAAGTAGCCCAATTCTCTAATTTTATCATGATTTGATCACATTATGATTTAATTACTTTCCCATGCGATGTTACTGAACTTGAAATAGAATAACTCATCTTCAACTTCTTAGCGTTTTGAGTTTTGACATTAACGTCGAAGCACAGTAGATCTACAAAAATGTACTTAGTCGCAGGGAGAGGGAAAAAGAAAAAAAAAGGTAATTACCTCCAAAAGGAGCAGTGCCTCATAAAGAATATATCAATTACAAATGAAATTAGGTGGGAAATGTTCTTACCTTACGAAAAATCTAAAAATCTTCTTCAGATGTCTCCAGTTGATCCTTCCGAAGACGATTATGATTACGATTATGATGATGACGACAGATGTGACTGTTTACATATGAATTTCATGGGTAACAAAGTTGTCGTCCGTCCCAATAACAACGGTAAGTCGCTTTAGTTTTTACATTGTATCTGCTGCTGTTGAGGCACACGTGCTTCAATAAACCATTATGCATATTCATTCATACACAGAAGTTTGCCTGCGTCATTGAAGATGTCGTGATAGGCGATTAAATTGTTACAACACAACAAACAAATTTCATATCAACAGAAATGATTGGTTTATGAAATGTCATAGGAAAATGCATTAAAAAATTCAAGAAAATATCCACATGACAACATAATCATAGTTCAAATGAAATTCCATGAAATTAAGGCAATACATGAACAAAGGAAAGATTTACACGGAAAAGTAGAAGGAGAATAAGATCAGGTGTTCCGGAAGAGTAAACGTCTTCTGCTTCATCGACGACATCCGCTATGTAATTCTTGGTCAATCCAAGTAAGTAGTGTCACGTCCTCAAATGAAAACAAAGCATACAACAACGGAACAGACAGGCAAACTAACTAGCTTCAAATACGTCCAGCTTCATGTCACACAAAGAAATAGAATAGTTCTCAATTAGATCACTATGGCGACCATAAACCATCCCTATGGTTTTCATTAACCTATATTTTTCGAACCCTTGTGTCAGTTGACTTCTTGCATTTATTTCTCTTGAAACTTCAGCAAGTAGGATGGCAGTTTGATAGGTAACTGTAGTAAAGGAACTCTATTAATTGGGGTATATTGCAAAAGCTGCATAGACGGATTTCAACTTTACCTTGCTAAGCAGTCAGCCGTCGAACTTCGTTATTTTTCTACATTGCAATATATATATTGAATATTGATATTGTGAAAAATGCGAACAAATATTATTACCGAGGTTGTGTAAATGTTCTGAATAGCTTGTCATTGTTATAGAGGTTACACGAAAACAGTTTGTTTAATATATTACAAAACTTTATATACAGCAGATCCTACAAGCACAGCCACAGGAAGCACCAGCTCCATCATAACCAAATTGATTACCACAGCTAGATCTACATATGCATTTTCTAACCAAGGTCAAGTGGCCTCCGGTGTAACATATTCAGCTTCCATTGGTTTGACGACGAATACCGGTAGTAGCGACACGGATACATTGAATAACCACAATAAGTCGACATCCGGTGAAAGAGCTTCAACTTCCGGAGTCATGGCAAGAGATGGCGATGACAACAACAGTAACAGAACAACTGTCAGTGACAAAAAAATTCATCCAGAAAACCATGGATTAATCGCAAACGAAGTGATACTGACCATAGCTCTGTCCTCGGTGTGTTTACTGTCGTTTTCCCTCGTCCTAATAATAATCGTGTGGAGGAGATGTAAGTATCATTACATTCAAAGCCTTTATTACATTTTTGGTATCTAAAAAAAATGACAAATTGGTTTTCATTCTTGTTGTAAATTTACTTAATTTGGCACCATAAATATTTCGTGCTTCGTCGTTTTTAACTTTTATATTCAATTAACCAAATAATGTCCGCTATGTAATCTAAGTCAATCCAAGTAAGAAATGTAACAACAGAACCAACAGGCAAACTAACGAGCATCAAACACATCCAGCTCCATATCGTACAACGGAACCAACAGGCAAACTAACGAGCATCAAACACGTCCATCTTCATATCGTACAACGGAACCAACAGGCAAACTAACGAGCATCAAACACGTCCATCTTCATATCGTACAACGGAACCAACAGGCAAACTAACGAACAGCAAACACATCCAGCTCCATATCGTACAACAGAACCAAAAGGCAAACTAACGAACATCAAACACGTCCAGCTCCATATCGTACAACGGAACCAACAGGCAAACTAATGAGCATGAAACACGTCCAGCTTCATATCGTACAACGGAACCAACAAGCAAACTAACGAGCATGAAACACGTCCAGCTTCATATCGTACAACGGAACCAACAGACAAACTAACGAGCACCAAACACATCCATCTTCATATCGTACAACGGAACCAACAGGCAAACTAACGAGCACCAAACACATCCATCTTCATATCGTACAACGGAACCAACAGGCAAACTAACGAGCACCAAACACATCCATCTTCATATCGTACAACGGAACCAATAGGCAAACTAACGAACCTCAAACACATCCAGCTTCATATCGCACAAAGAAATATATTTCTCAACAAGATCACTGACGACCGTAAAACGTCCTCATAATTTCCTTCAACCTACATCTCTTGAAACCTCGTGTTATGAGTTAGTATGTCTGTTGATGACATCTTGCATGGAATTCGTGATACTAGGTTTTAAATATCGAATTAACTACGACATATTAAGACCAAAGGTTAGGGATGCAAGGTTGTGTTGCTATCGAGAAATGGAAAATTCACAATAGGGAAATTGAAATAATCACGCTTATCAAACAGCTTGGTGGAAAGGTGACTACACGTACATAGATTTCCTTTTAGGAAAAGATTCATTGGGTGATTACGAATGACGTAGACAATAAATATCTCGTTATTTAAAGTAAAGACGATCAACCATTATATCTGAAAGCGAAACTGGAGGACTTTTCACAGTCTTTGAGCCTGTGTAAATAAGCCTTTCGATAATTCAGCCTCGTGTGAAAAAAACAAGTCAGCAAACGGAGGAAGACAGCTAGTTTTCGTAGGTATGCCGAAAGTCTGTCAGAAGGTCTTGCCACCAAACTCGACGAAGATGTTGTCAACCGGAAACTCAATTATTTCTATGATTTCGTCCTCCGTATATTTCTGTGACATGGACTAGCATTTTTATATATTAAGTGTACTACATTTTTAATAATATACACATTACCAGTGAAACTAACTTGTTCTTTCATTCAAGATCCGCGTTGTTGCTGTCATCGCAAGATTGTCGAAATCAAACAAGATTCAGACACAGTTAAGACGACAGACAAACAACAGGAAGGTTAGTACATTGTGACCATGTCTCTTTGATACAGCGGTTGTAATGATAGCGTACATTTATATCATCATTTCTAACGTTAAGTGGTGTACTATTAGCTCTAGATGTAATATTCGCTGTGGGTGTTAATTAGTGTCGTCCATCCTTATCCGACGTTGTTTGGAACTTTGGTCGAGTGAAATATGTTCGCAGTCATTACGATATCCCACCTACCTGGCGATTTCATGGTCCATTCTCAAAGACTGGCTTTTTAAGAACAGAGGGTATCAGTTTATTTGCATACTTGTCCCGTTTTTCAACAATAAAGAGGCACATTACAATATACATAAAGGAGTGCTATTGATATCCATTAAAATATCAAGTGTATTCTAGTAACACTGAATATAGGAAGATAACTCTAGACAACTTGGATTGGCATTGAAATAGCGTATATTTCGTTAAGTACCATGTCTCCGTGTGGTAAGCTCATCTGTTTTAGTCAAGATGTTCTCAGAACAGTTGTTCTAAAGTGGCTACGATCATTAACATAAATGCATGTATGATCATAAGTACAGAACTTTTTATTTAATAATCATTGTTGGTCATTCATTCTCGAAAATCATCACAAATTTGACGGATGAATTTTGTAGGAAAATCCAGAGATGTACATACATATATTGTGTGTTTCAAATTATTTCCATAATAAGTAGCATGTTCGACATATGAACCAAGCAAGCGTTGTTTGTGTATATGATGGATGAATTATTCAGGCGTTCGATCGGCTTCTTTTTTATAAACATCAGGTTACAGTCGATAGAACTTCAGTTATACGACAAGTGGGATGTCACCTAAACCGAAAATATCTGACACTAAAATAATAAGTTAATGTCAATATTCACATTTATTGAGGACAAGGCTGATATTAGCATTTATTATCACTCGTAATGGCTGAAAGAGAGAGAGAGAGAGAGAGAGAGAGAGAGAGAGAGAGAGGAGGGGGGAGGGAGCGAGAGAGAGAGGGGAGAGAGAGAGAGAACAAAAATGAAAAACAAAACAAAAAAAAACACTAGAAGAATGACATAAATATAGCAAACTGTAAGGTCAATGATAGTGATTGATGGGTTTTCATCACTTTTATGAACACGTCCGTTCTATCTCTGAAATGAGAATAGTCAATATAAATGTAGATATCAATAACACCAAATTATAAGTGAATATTGTCATGAAATTATCATTTCAGGGACAGAAATTTTCGGTCTAAATTTCACCTTGTAAATTTTAAACACCAACATCAGTATTTTTTATCATAAAATGAGTTTGATATCCATGACAGTATGTAAACGTTAGATTAAAATTATTCAGTTGAAAAAACCTGCGTATAAGCCGCATTCAAATATGCTTCTTATTATACGTACAGAGGAAGAAAAAAGTACCGGAGAAAAATACGACTCGGGTATACAGGATTGGGATAATGAAGAAGGATTCCTACAATCTGACGTTGCAACTTTACAGGAGAGGTGTGGCAATGTTTATTCAGAGACATGTCAATATTCAGAATTATCATGTGATCTCTATGATTATACACAAAACTGCAAGAGTCAACGTGATCCGTCCATCTATCCGGCGATCACGATTTTAGACGGAACATTAGAAAAGACCAATTATATTCATCCATTTTTTGATGATATAACCCGAGATGAGAACTCGTGGATTCCATCATCTGCTTGTTCTGTAAAGCCAAATATGATACAGGACAACCTTATCAACCAAACGGATAAACAAACACACTCGTCCGAACAAGGCATGGCAGTACACAAAGGAAATGTTCATCATTGCACAGTTATATTACAAAATGACCAACAGCGGGACAAAAGTGCGTTCACAAGGGACCAGGTGTCTTTTAGAAGCGAATGTGATGAAATGATTCCAAATATACGAGATAAGTTTGAATTTGTCCCCCCTGATTCGAATCCTAGTGAGTGTTCTGACATTACAAGTCAAATAATCGAACAAAGAATATTGGAAATCAACAGAAACTATTTCTGGAATATTTCTTCCGATGGAAATGTCAAGAGCAACACAAACACTTCAGAATCACGTGTTAATGACAATAAGACCAGAGAGTCGGTCAACCAATGGGTTTTTGATCAACAATGTAGTGAAGATATGGTTCACGACGGAAGTGATGTAAGCATTGGTGGCATCAGTTTATAACAGCTGTCACTGAATAGTTGATTCATTGTCAGAATATATATATAAATAACTGGTCAATATTAACAGAAATGTGTTGTTTTATACATTTTTTTTCTTTGTAAATTATTTGTCATTATCTTCAATATTGTGTAAATCAATAAAAGTTTTTTTATGTTCAGCTGTTATATGCACAGTTGAAAAATAAATTTTAAATTGTATAATTAACGTTAATATTTTACAACATGATTACATACGCTGAGCTTAAACAGCGTCCGTTGCAACAAGACAGACAAAAGAGGCATACACAGTCTCATTTCATCAGTATGAAAATTTGCAATTTCGAAACATAGTAAGCATTTGTGGCAGCCTTATTTTGATATCGCCATCTTGAATTCAATCTAGACGATAATTACGATAGCTCTCTTCACCCTCAGATACCTTTTAAACACTATCTCCTGTACTCTCTGTAATGTATAAACTGTTTTAACAGTTCTCGTAAATCGCGTCATGTACCATATGGATCTTGTAACAATAATATAAACATTTAGAACAGGACGTGATAGGGATAATTTAGTTCTCGCTTGATATAACAATCTTGTGTGTGGGTAAGAATCATCTTGTGTGCTATACATAGTGCATATACAATCCATGGTACAATATATAGAATGAATACTATTGTTAGACTCTCTATATACAATCAGGGATTTCGTAATTCACTAGCTTCATAGATAAATTTACCTAGCATACAAAATTCTTAAATATTGTGAATACTCAATAATTCAAATAACTTAAAGACTGAAGGTTTTCTCCAATAATATCACTTAATAAAATAAGCTTGAATGGTTTGGAATTGTCTACATGTTAGTGAAAAATGGAATCAATTATCAAATACAGAGTTACATTGTTTACAATATTTGTGTGCCTTTGGAATATTTCTACATCTTCCTGTCTCAATTGCAAGATAATGACTTGGCGTACGGCTTTTAGTACAGAACGTCGCTGACAATCTATGGAGTTTCAGCTGTAACAAGTTAAGTAACGGTAAGTAGACACTACGATTCTTACATATGATTTAATAGTCTAATGAGCTATATATATTGATATAAAGTATTCAAACATACATCGTTACAACAGTCGCGAGATTTGTGTGACTAAACTGATTTCGTATACATCTTAATAGCATAACACTTCGGAAAACCTCTGCTTTCTCTCTGTGTTGGTATACATAATGCGTCAGCATATTACCTCACAAAGTAAGTGAAAGGATACATGTCTATACACCGTATGAAGCTCTCTGAACACACTCGTATTGACACTAACAGCACGCGCACACAAGGTTTTTTATATGATCTTTTCGCAATTTGGTCTTTTAACAAATAACGCAAATATACAAACACCCGAGTTCAATATATACATTAAAAATACGATAGCAATCTGTAGCATTGTGTTCCAGAAAAATTCATTATTTCCAGAATTGTGTTTCAGGAATCATATAAACTCATTTTCTTTGTGATGGCGCATGGTATTTAGTTGCAAAATGATGTCAAATTACACAGATATAAGCACTATGGAAACAACACCACTATTTGCCGCCGCTGTAGCTGTACAACGTCGCAACGTTGCGCTGGTCAGGCTTCTGACGTCGACAAAGGTAAAGCTATCACCGATGAACAGCACGTGAAAGTTCCGCAACGAATCTGACATCACGACACTGGCGAGAACGACGCCCAAAGACATCCCACACGTGTCCGATTGGGGATGAATCACGTGCTCTTGTTGGCTATTCACGTGACGTGACATAACTGACGTAACGCAGTTTATATGTGACAATCAGTGTATCGTTGCAATACGTTGTTGCATAAATGGTACCACCACTGACATGAAAATCTTATCACAACGCCGCCGTATAGATTAGTATTCCTTAAACTATCACAAAAGTAGCTGATCTCTTCCCACACCAGCACACTACCACCGCCATTCCGACCCTGTTTTGGCGACGTAGTCTACACACGCGTCCCTTCTTTCAACAAACTGGTCATTGAAGCGAGATTTTAAAAAAAAACGACTTCTTGTGATTTCCGTTGGGCCACCAACGGTGCGTTTTAACCCATTTGAGACCATTTTGCCGATGACATCGCGTCAACAGAACGGTCACGAGACGCTTATCGTGTGATCTTGCGTTACGGATATGACTCTGCAGCTTGACAAGGAACAAAGCATTCTTAGTCTGAGCAAAAAACGCAAACGTCGACGTCGCGATGTTGTTACATAACAGTCCTGTCGTACCATCGTTTTCCTAGATCCTTCATCAGATAACGTGCCTTCAGTCGGGAAACTGTTTGAGAGATGAATATGGAAGTGAAAAGCAACGTCTCCAATCGACACATAACTTAGTTATAAGTAAAACCTGGACGTTGACTTTTTTTTTGTTTTTGTTTTTTTATTTTTTTCAAAATTTTATTTTTCTATTTTTGTTTGTTTTGGTTTTGTTTGCTTTTGTTTTGTTTTTGTTTTTCTTTTGTTCAACAAACCTTCCCTAATAAAATGACATTCACCTATGCGAACAGTGATACACGGCAAAAATTACAAAACGATTGTGCATTTGATTCCAGTTCGCTAATCGTTTCACAACAGGCTGTTACCCTACCAGATTTACATAAAACATACATAAATGAAAAATACATTTGACATAAAGAAAATAATTGTTTCTGAACAGTGTTTGGGATTTTTTTGTTTTTGTTTTTTTTGTTTTCAAAACTAACAATGGGCAACATTTGATATATCGATAAAAAGGTGGGGAAATTGTCTAGATCTAAACAATGAGATGATCGATAACACGTTTTTGTCTTCTCCCCAACAGGGTGAAGGGGAATAACTCTTGCGTTACTATAGATTAATCGTAAGAAAAAAGGACATATGATAGTAACATTGTAGCTTTTCATGAAAAACAACCAAACTCACAAAACAATGTGAAGATGTTCAACTAAAGCCATGAAGCTATTTAACGGTCATCAATTACCTGTCTAGATTCATTTACATAAATGTAAGGGAGAAAATACAACGGATTTATAAGTTATTTATCTGATGTTAAACTTTCTGATGTAAAACAGGCGAGGCCAATATCAGGATGTTGTTTAGAACACGAAACATGCTATTACCTGTTTGCTTACTTGATTATACAATATCATTTTTTTAATTTCTTTTTATATAAACTGTTTCATATCACGCATTTTATCTACAATTAATACTATAAAAATATTCACCTATAAACATGTACTTATTGGACTGCATTGACTTTCTGTCTACTCGAGAAAAAAACTTATCGTAAAGTTACAAGTCTAAAGACTCTTTTTGAAACTGTTCAGATTTATAAAATTCTAGGCCATCTGAAAGATGTTGGTCTATATTATAGACTAAGACTTACCACTTTAATATTTTGTGATAATATAACCATTTAAGATTTTCAGCATTTGTCCATTACCTTTTAGTTTGTTTGATGTTATTTCCTTTTTGGATCGCTGTGTGTTTTACCGGTTGATGGCCCTAATGACCTTTTATGTGTTGACGGGCCGTTAAGAATGTAATGATAATAATAAGCTACACTTCAGATTAATCAGTATTTTATATATTTCATTTCGCCTTTCGTTATGTTTTCTTTTTTAACACAAACTATAATTATTTTACAATAACTGCGAGACAAGCTATCAGTTTATATGTCTCCCTCTTGTTGGCCCGACTGGAACGCGCCGGGTCTTACTGTGGAAAGAAACCGGAGTACCCGGGAAAATCCACGTAATCGGGCAGGTGACCTCATTTCTTTTCACGCCCGTTCCGGGACTCTAACCTCAGACGGCTAGGTGAAAGGCGAATGCGTTATCACTGCGCCACCCGACCACCCTATTTTCCTTTCTAACAAAAGCAATTAATGTATCACTTGACGGTATCATGGGCTTATAGATAGCACAGCCTGCTATACCTATTGTGTACAGATATCTTTCAAACTATACCAAAGTGCTGAGAACTTGTTTTTGTGTCATTTACTTAAGAAAGTTACGTCATGGATAAAGCGATAGCGAAATAATATATCTAATTACGTCAGAGATCTTAAAATTCGTGTCAGTCTGCTTGGAATTTGTAAAAAAAACACGTAAGTTTTCGTAAGAATTTCTTTAAAAAGCCTCGGCGTACAGAGAAATTCGTAAAAAAAATATTTCGTAAAACCTCAGATTATGCAGAAATCATGATAACCAGCCACAGTTACCAGTCTCATCTGTCATTATACTTACAGCTATCGATGTATTGTGAATAGTATGAGCATTCTGACAGACAAGGCTGGTACAGTTGAACCACGTTAAGAACCCAGTATAATTTTTAATTTGTGATATAATCTATACATCTGCTTAGAAATTGGAGAAAACCAAGTCAAAAGTTTTGTGACATGGCTTGATAACCTTATGTATATCAGTTAGATTTTATCTGATAAGTACTCAATAGTCACGGAAAGATACATACACTCAGTGTATGTCTTCCTTTAAGTTGTGGTTAGTTATATAATCTACAGCGACCCCATAAACAGATACTCACCCACAGTAGATCGAGCTAGTCTTAAGTGGAAGTATCCTTCTTGCGGTCCACAATTACGTGTTCAACTTGTCAAGGATTCAAGTAAAATTTAAGTATTATCACCTAAACAAACTACTTAATAATTCACTTTTAAAAGACATAAGTTTCTGTGCTGAACAAACCATTCCTAAATCCAGCCTGATTTTAATGAATAAAATTAATATCATCTAATAGTTTTTTTATTCTGTCATTAAGTATAGATGTAAAGACTTTGCCCAGACAAGAATTTCATCAAATAGCAATATAACTGTCAAAATTATGTGCGTCATCTTTGTTTTTATAAATGGGCTTTATAACTCCCATCATCCAGGATTCAGTTGTATCAATGACAATCTTAAATAATTTGACATACAATGTACATCGGTAATAACATATCAATAGAACATTTAATATGTTCA